CAAATACCTGCTATAAAAAATAGATCTTTAGGTGCACCGGAGTGAAAGCTTTCGCCAAAATGCATCTGTGAAGGACTGGCACATTATAAACGTAATGGAAAAAATCAAGAAAACCCATTTTACAGTATGTAGATCACTTATTAACCCAACGCTTTTACCTTATTCTGATGTGAAAGTTTTTTTTTAAACAATTCAAATTTTAATCATTATATTGTTTTTAAGCTATTCAGTTTATTAATGCTAATATTTTAATATATTATAGATTAGAGACTGGATTCGAGTCAACTCCTAGCTTAAAAAATATAGTCTTAACTCGAGTCAAGACTATGTTTTTTAAGCTATGAGTTGGCTCAAGTCCAGTCTCTATTATAGATAAGTTTTAAGGATTTATTTTATCTAAATTTTTCGTTGAGGTATATCTGTATTTGTATTACAGTATTCTTGTAAGAGGACCTATCATTTTCCTGACAAACACTTTCCTGACAATATCAAAATTTCTACAAATTAGCCGCATTAGTTTGGATTTGTGCTAGTTCGGTCAATTTTTTGTTTCAGGATCTTGTTTGTTGGGAAAATAATACCAACAGTAAAACTTTCTTCTCAAAATACATCTATTACCCAAATTAAAAAAATAAATAAAGGTTATTAAATGAGTGTTATGAACCTAGGTCTAATTAAGGCTAGTCTTCATGGACTAAGTTTCAAAATCAGGTTTTAGAACCTACTGTATCCTTAATGTTGACTTTAGAAATCGACTAATATCACTTAATGAAATATGCTTATTAAGATGGTTTAAGTTTTAAGAAAAGATATTAATATTATTAGAATCAGTGAAAAAAATTATTTATGCACGTGTGCACATAGGAAAAATTTTTTTTGTGCACATTTTTTTTAAAATTGTGCAAAAAATTGTGCACGCTAAAAAAAATTGTGCACACTGAAGAATCGTTCGTTTTGTCGATCATTCGTTGACACCGGCCAGCATTAAACTGATTTCAAAGTTAAAATTAAAGTTAGAAGATTTAGGAAACACACGTACCAAAATTATATGCAAGTTTATTGAATTTACAGTAACACAATGCATCCATTTATGTACTCTACAAATTCCTTTTCGTTATCGTTATTGAGATATTCAACCATTTGATTTAACAATGACGGAAACAAAGACTCCTTCTTCTAATTCTCGAGATGACGTACTTCAGTTTCTTGAAACGCTTGATACGTATTCGCAAACTACTGCTGCTGGAACGCCAGGCAGCACACCAGCTGACACCACGCAATCTGTACTTGATTTTCTCGATCAAATCACTCAATCTACTCCTGCCTCTAACCCTTCTGAATCAAATCCTAAACAAGGCAATCAAAATAATTCTTCTGTAAACCAAAATGGTTCTGCTGAACAACAAACTAATCAACCTGAATCTCAAAAACAAAGTGGTGCATGGTCATGGGGTGGTTTGTTAGCGACTGCAACTACCGCCTACCAAACTGCAACAACTGTGGTTGATAATTCTGTTAAAGAGGCCTTAGAAACTGTGCGAACTAATGAAGCTACTAAAAAACTTGAGGAAAGAGTTCGTGGTATTGTAAATAAAGAAGCTATTGAAAAATTAGGTTTGTATTTACATTATGCTTTGGTGCGTTCTCGAATCATCATTTATTTTCTCGCGTATTTTTTAAAAGGTTCCGATCTCAAAACTCTTAGTCTGAATACTCTTACAACCGTGGTTAATGCCGTGGTCCCTCCAATTTCACAATATGAAGTTGTAGAAGTTTGGTTGTCTCATGATATGGTTGGTTATGTTGGTTTAGAATCTCTCGTATATAGAGCATTTATGAAAGTCATGGAGCAAGTCGAAGGTGGGGATATTGTAGTCCGAAAAAGTGATGAAATAAAACGTGATCCTGATGATGATTCATACAGAGATTTAAATGTTTGTGAAGGTTTTATTGAAGCTGTTGGCCTTGCCAAGGTATAAATTTTTTATCATGCAACTGCTTATTTATTCATCGCTTTCTAATCATTTTAATTGTTTTAATTGTCTTTATTTAGGCTAATATTGAACAAGTCATCAAGAAACACTACAAGCCAGAAATTGATAATGAAAAATCTAAAAGCACAGATCAATCTATATGTCCCGTTTTTATGGCTATTCAGCCTACTAAAGCAAATCCTTATTCTCTCCAAAACAAATCCGAAGATACTGCTGATCCTGATCAATACTTATTTTATGTTATTGTTTTGACTGATCCAACTCATAACCTCACTTTTAAAACCTTCTCACAAGCACTTCCTGTTAGTTGGTTAGATATTCCATATGAAGAGAACGAATGGGTGGAAGCTAAAATGGTTTCTGTTATCAAATTGGCTGTTCAATCAATAGCTCAGGATTATGTTTGGCATCGAATGACTTCAAGTGATGGTCGACCTCAATCTAATGATGATAATTCAAACATTGCATCTTAATATATTAATTTTTAATAATATTTCGTTGTAAAAATTTTTTTGGTCTGGTTTATGATCTTTTCGTTATTAATTCTATGAATTTAATTTATCCAGGTATTTACGTTTTGTCAACTTATCGAAAGGTACTTTATTTTACTATTCTCAAATATATAACAACTTGGTTTGTTTTTTAACATTAATAAATTTGATTATGAAATTTAGTTGGATTATCAAAGGCATTATGTACAAATATCTGTTACTTTATAATAAAGTTGTATCATAACGTTCTATAGTTATGAGAAATGCCCAAATATAAAATCGAAAAATTAAAACCATGTTCCTACAGTTATAATCTTAAAGTTTGATCAAGTCTAAATGTGGTGTAAACGTTTTAATTATGTCAAATTTATATTTCATATTGAAAAAAAACTTTACGTATAAGAAACCTAGATCTCTTAATCTACAGTAGCTGCATAACTATTATCAAAATTTATAGTAACTATATAGTCACGGTCTGCTCTCGTTATAACGTAATGATCGGGCTAGAAAATTTGCTTATTATAAATCCGTTATAATGAAATATTCGCTATAATTTTATATAATATAATAATAATTTAAATTGTTGTTAAATAATTTTAGAAAATTCTCCGCTATAACGAGGGATCCGTTATAAAAAATCCGTAGTAACGAGGGAAGACTGTATTATGCAATTACTGCTCATTATAAAAAACTATTGTAGTACTTGTTGGTTTACTGTTTCCCAATTCTTCAAGCTCAAATCTTTGTTAAATTTTTATGTTTCAAAAAAATATTAGTTTTTGATAAGGAATAAAATATACTCAAAACGAGAAAGTGAAAAACTATTATAATATTGATTATTTTTTATCTTATTTTTTTAGCCAAATATAAATTCTTATTTTCAAGCTTTCTAGTTAGTGCTTCAAAAAAAATTTATAAAAAAATTTTTAGTTTTTTGCGAAAAAAACTAAATCCAGAATAAAAAGCTAAATGTTAGTAATTATATTATTATTTTAGATTCTTTATCTAGATCTTATAGAAAAACTTTCGTATAATTGGCTGTTTAAATCAATTAATTTTATATGTTTTAGACAATCTAAAAAATCAAACTACATAAAAGTTTTATTCGAAATGTAGAACTTTACAATTGAAAATAATCAAAATTCTCTTTTGTTTTGAAGAAGTTGGCATAATAATAACCTAATTTTATCTATTTTCAGAAGCTGTTATTATGCTAGCTTCTTAAAACAAAACATAATTTTGATTGCTTTTGGTAATGAAGTTCTATAACTCTAATAAAACTTTTATATATTTGGGAAGAAGTCAACAGAAAACAGGCAAATTATTTTTAGTAATTTTTAAATTTTGAATTCAAGTATCTTAACAACTATCTAATCAAACTTGATAAAATTTTTGTTATTTTAATTCTATAATTATATAGAATTAAATTAAAAAAATTTATCAAGTTTAATTTAATAGTTATTAAAATATTTTAATTTAAAGTTTATTTAGAAAAAAACTGTTTTTTATTAACCTTCTATTTTTATTAGTTCTTAGTAGTTTGATTTTTTAAAATATTTAAACTATATAAATAATATAAAATTAAGAACAAATCTAATTATAATATAATATTATACATCTTATTTGTAATATCTACTTAGTATAGTTAATAAAAATAACCAAAATTTATATATTGTATATTTCTCAAAATAAACTACTTTTTTGGCAAAAAAATGATATAAATATTTTTAGATAGCCTATTTTATATGCTTCAATTTTTAATAAAGCTAAAATATCTCAATAAATACTTGTTCAAATTATATCAAATTTTTAAAATAAATATATTTACTTTTTTAAATAACTTTACTTAGAATATCAAAATATATAACTTGTTCTATTTTAAAAATTTTTATATTAAATTTTAATATTTTTTGATTTCTTGTATTTTGATTAGCTAAAAAATATTTTTTTGAATTTTTTTAATTAAAACTTTAATAATTAACAAATTATCTAATAGAAAGAGACCAAAACATGTAACTTGTCACAAATTTATTAATTTCTTAATATATTATATAAAACTTAAATATCTTTAAAATAGTATAAATTAAAAATATATAATAATTATTTTAAAAATAAAGTCATTAAGTTGTAGAAAATTAGCTTGATTATAAGCTATTAGTTTTTAAAATTATTTTAGTCTTTAGATATTATATACTATAATAGCTTATTTTTAATATAGCTTATTTTATAATATAGTCAAACCTCTCTAAGTACACTCTCTATAAATGCATACCTTTCCTAAGTGCACAACCTGGCCCAGTTCTAAGCATAGGACTTAGTGCTAAGTGCACACCTCTACCCTTGTATGTGCATAAATTTTCAAGGACCCAAACCTATATATGCACCTCCGTAAGTACACGCACGTGATTATCATAAAAATCTGACCAATAAAAATACATAATTTATCGAATTAACCATTGTAAATAGATTTTCTTTGACAGATTTGTTTGTTTTATTCTTATTTTTATTCTGGAAAGAAAATTTTCTCAAGTATTTCTGCTATTAGATATTTCGTCTTAAATTTAATGCACCAACTTTGGCTCCCGAGGCCAAAGTTGGTGCACTATCATTATAGCCATTAGGTTATAGTACAAAATCACCTGCCAAATAAAACTATCATTGGGTGTTACACATTTAATAATTATAAATCCTGATCCGGATCTAATTTCCATCCAATTACTATTGATAAATGAACATTTTCAGAATGTGGTGATATGTCATTGTACCAATAAATCACATAAATTTTGTATTGATCAGGGTGTTGAGAGGCTAAGTTCACGATTCTTTCGCAGTAGTTCTTTTGCTATAATCTTTGATGATTAGTGATTATCAATTCATCATACCAGCAAAAAATCAAAAGAAAACAGGTAAAAAATTAAAAAAAAACTTAAAATAAAAGCAAAACATTAGATAGGATTGACATATAAATACTAAAATGATACCTTTTATTAAAATTTGAGTTATTTTAAATGATCCAAATTTTTTTTTTTTTCTCGAAAAGCATCAGTACGACTGGTCATATAATTAAATAAATGCCAGCTAGCCAAGGTGCCAGAAATAAATTCAATTAAAGGACATGAAGTCCGCAGAATACATTATGAGTAATTTTAGCTAAGTAATTTTAGTAATGAAATAAAACGATAATATGCATCCAGAAAATTAGCAAGTGAGATTGCGCCAAATATTATCGTAACAGTAGAATAAGCAAGAAGTAGAATAAGCAAGAAATAGAACGAGCGAGAAGCAGTATTAGCTGGTGGTTTTCAGTCTGCCCGAAGCAGACCGGCTGTTAAATAGAAAAATGGCAGAATCAGGGAGTGTCAAAATTGACTTTTCTTTGTCAGCTATTTATATATCGATCATGGTCAGTGACTTATTTAATTATATATTTCTGGTTGCGTGTTGATTCATACAATTTAATTAATCAATTATTAATTGATTCGTTCTTTAATCCTGATTCTTGCCATTCGCCCTATGATTTGAGGGAACAGGTTGTAGCATGTGGTGTGTAACTTCTAACTAGTTCTTCTCTTTCTTTTCAATCTGTTGACCCTTGTCAATATGCACATACAATAGACATGTAGATGTAATATACATGTGTATCTACATATATATCTATAAATATTCGAATGCTCTATTTGAGATATTATTATATGCTTGTACGTATTTAGTATTATTGATTATACATAATATAATGCTTAATTCTGATTGGTTACTCAAATTACATATATTTTCTATAAATGCACACTCTCTTCAAATGCACATCTATCCTCGATCCCAAGGGTGTGCACTTAGAGAGGTTTGACTATATATAGTAATCCAAATTTTAACTTTAAATTTTATTAGTTAATTATATTATTATTGTATGCAATAGCTATTATGAATAGATTTTTTAAAATTAAAATAATTTAAATAAATAATTACAATTATTATAAAATGCACCTATAGTGGTTTTGTACTTATTATATGTTTTATTAGATTTTTTAAAATTTTCTAAGTTTTTATAAATTTTGTATATAAAATTTTTAACACTAATTTTTTCATATTAAAGTTAATATTAAGGTTAGTATTAAGGTTTGAAAAGAGTTTTTCAGAGGCATAAACCATTTTTAATTAGAACACCTTATATCAATTAATTAGCCAGTTTTTAAGATAATACAACATAAGTAGTAAAATACTATAGATGTGTTTTAGAAAAATGAATAATTATATAAAATCTTTTTATAAATTTAGATTATTTTTATTATTTAAATTATTAAAATTAATAATAGTATTTATTTAACTATTATAAATTGTAAAAGTTAAAACTTATCTAAACAGATTCACTTTTTCTGCTAATTATCAAAATACAAATTTTACAGAAAAACAAAAACACAGAATCAACAGAAATCGAGAATAGCACTAAAAAGCAAAGCTTACATAACTAAGTAAAAAAGAAGAAGACACAAAAAATTACTTTGTCTTTTAGAAGACTAGAGTTAAGAAGTCAAAACTCATTAAGATATAAAAAAAAAACTTAAAAATACAGTAATTTTTCATTGTCTGTAAACATTTTTGGAGAAAGCACTTAATCCTGTAATACAAATCTGTTAACATAATACAACTATGTAATACTAACAAATAAAAACAATACAAATACATATAGCAGCATATAACAAATACAACAAGAAAACAATAAACTGAGTTATATAAAACAAACTAAAAAAAAATTCCAAAAATAAACAAAGATTACAAATTAAAGCAGATATAAGATGTGAACTAAAAAAACCTACTAGAGAAAGTAAGCAAAGATAATTTAGAAGAATACAAACAAAAATATAGAAAACAATGTAGCAAAGATATAGAAAAAGAATTGGAGTATAAGTATCACAACCTTATCATAAAAAGCAAAATTGATGCTATTTTGCCAGATACTACAAGACAAAAAATTTGTAAGCTAGATA